ATAAATATAATATAATTTTTTTTATTAAAAATTTTTAAAAATATTAAATATTATATTAAAAAAAAATTAGCAGAAAATTAAAAAAAAAAAAGATATATATTAAAAAATTTAAAATAAAAAATTATAAAATATTATATAATATAAATAAATTATTTAAAAAAAAATATTATTAATATATATATATATATTTATATATTTATATATTTATATATTTATATATTTATTTATAGTTTTTATATAATTTTAAATTTCAATTATGAATAATTCTATTATAATTAATAATAAATATAAAATATTAAAATTATTTATTAGAAATAAAATAACTTTTATATTTTGTCTATTTATTATAATGATTTATATATCTAATTTTATTTTTTATTAAATTTTAAAATTTTATTATAATTAATTTTTTCTTTTTATTTTATTTTTATTACCATTACTTTATGTTATCTTTTTTAAATATTTATTTATTATGTGTTATGACTTTTTTTTTTATTTTTTACATTGAAAGTTTTCTTATTTACTTTCTATTTATCATATAAATTTCTTAGTAATTTTTTATATAATAAAAATATTTATAATAATTATATTTATTATTATTTATAAAAAATATACAATTTGATTATTAATATTTATAAAGAAAAATACTTTTACTGTTTAAATATATATTTGCTTTATATTATTACATTAAAAAAATTTTTTTCATATTATTTATTAATAAAATTTAATTAATTTATGATTATTTATAATAAATTAAATGGTATAATATAGTCATTTTAAAATATAAAGATAAATATAAAATCATTATTTAAAGTATAATATCGTACATATATTAATAAATAAATAAAATATTTTTATTAAATATAAATCAAAAAGCCAATTATTAGTGTTTTTTTATATAATAATAAAAATATTACTATATATATAAATAATTAAAAATACATCTATTATATATTAAATATAATTATGAAAGCTAATTTATTGCTTTAGATTAATATTAAAATAACCCATACCTAAGCGATTCAAGTAATCCTCAAAATAATAATGGAGTAAAAATAGTATAAAAAACAACAACTGCAGTTCCTTCTTAAATTGATACCACATAAGTCGCTAATCCGAAATCTAGAAAAGACTGGAAAAGTGGCACAACATAACTATAGGAATTATTGCAGCAAAGGATGAAGAAATAGAATATTGGAAAAATATGTGCGAATAATAAGAATATACAATTACAGAATAAATTGAATAGAATAACAATGATAAATATAACTTTGAAAATTTATAAAATGAATTATAGGAAAAAATTAATTAAAAAGAAATATAGCTGAATGATATGTTAAAAAAGTAATTAAAAATATTAATTATATTTTTATTTTTTAAATTAAATATAATAATAGACTTAGTGATGCTTAAAATGATTAAAAATAAAAAGCTGAATATATAGAAAACTTATTAAAAAATAAAGAAGATTTAGAATTATTAAATATTAATTTAGATAAAAATATTTAAAGATAAAGAATAATAATTATAAAAAATTAGTTAAGAGTAAAAATGTTTATTTTTTAAATTTAAATTATTATATTATATAATTTTTCTTTTTTCTTTTTAATTTTTTTTTTTTAAAAAAAATAAATAAAAAAACTATAGAGCAAATTAAAAAAATTAAGAAAATGAAAATGAAATAAAAAACTTAAAAGAAGAATTTTCATAACTACTATAATAAAGTGATAATTAAAAAAAAAAGCTTAATGATGATTTTGCTTAAAAAATAAAAGAAAATGAACTTCTTAAAAACAAGTATACGAATAAAAAATATAAAACTATTTTTATTCTTTTAGTTTGATTTAATTAAATGAAGAAAAACAAATTAAAGTAAACGATTTACTAGAAAAAGAAGAAGAAGTTGAATAACTTAAAAAAAAGTAAATCAAATATATTAAAAGAAATTATATTGATATTTTTATATTTTATAAAGTTTAAATCGTAATATAAAAGATAAAGATAATAAAATAAATGAATTAGAATAATATAATGAATAAATTTAAAAATAAATGTAAGAAGAAACTAAAAAATTAAATGATGATCTTTAATAAAAATAAGATTAAATTTAAGATTTATAAAAAGATTTATAAGAAAAACATGATTAACTCAAATAATTGAAAAAAAGTTTATTAGAATAATTAAATAAATATATATATATATATATATATTTTTATTATAATAAAGTTTAAATGAATAAGAATTATCTAAAGATGAATAAATTAAAGACTTAGCAAATAAATAAGAAAAACTTTAGAAATAATTAGAAAATACCTAGAATAAATTAGAATTACAAATAAAGGATAAATAATAAGAGTTAGATAAATTAAAAGAAAAGTAAAAAAAAAAATGTTTATAGAATTAAACATATTTTAAAAAATAATAAAGCCTAAAAGATACTAATCAAAAGAAAGATTATTAAATTAATGATCTAGAATAAAAATTAAATGAAATAAAAAAATAATATAAAAACGATTAACAAGACTTGAGCTAACAGTTGACTGATAAACAAGAAGAATTAAGTAATTTGAAATAAGAGTATAAAATATTTTTATAAAAAATAAATTTATTGTAAAAAATTAAATTTTAACAGATTAGAGTAAACAAATCAAATTAAAGATAAAAAAATAAATGATTTATAGAATAAATCAGATTTACTTTAAAAATAATTTGAAGGTGAAAAGAAAAAACTCGATCAAGATTTAAAAAATAAATAAAATATTATTGAAAATCTGAACTAAGTGTATTAATAAAAATATTATTAAATATTTTATTTCTTTTAAGTTTAAACGAAACGACAAAACAAAAAGATAAATAAATAAATGATTTAGATATGAAATAATAAAAACTAAAATAATAATATGAGGATGATATAGAAAAATTAAACTAAAATCTTCAAGATAAAGAAGATAATATTTAATAACTTAAAAAAATGTTTTTTTTATTTTATTTTTTACTATATATAAATTTAGTTTAAATTTAATTAAAATAATAGTTTGTAAGATGATAATTAAAAAAAAGATAAAAAAATAAATGATTTTTAAGAAAAATTAGATTAATTATAATAAGAGAATTAAACTGATGTTATATAACTTTAAAAAAAATTACTTGATTAAGAAGGAGAAATCGATAAATTAAAAAGAAAGTAAAACATAAAAAATAATTATTATATTAAACTTTATTAAAAAGTATAAATGATTGTAATATTCAAAAAGCTTAAAAAGCAAACGAGGTTGAAAATTTAGCTTTATAAAATAAAAATTTAGAATATGAATTATAAGAACATAAAGAAGATATTATTGAAAAAGACAATTTAATAAATAATTTAAATCAAAAGTAAACAATTAATAATTTTATTTTAAATTTTCAAAATAAAATATCTAAATAGTAATTTGTAAAAAGACCTTAAAATTAATTAATTAAAATAGAATTTAGATGATTAATAATATTAATATGAAAAAGAAAAAGAAAAAGAAAACTAAATTTTAGCAGAAAAAGATGAATTAATTAATTAACTAAAAAGAAAGTAAAAATATAAAATTTCTATTTATAATATTGTTATAAATATAAATAGCTTAGTAGATTCTAATTTTAAAAATGACCAGAAAATTAATGTACTATAAAATTAATAAGAAGAAAATAAAATATAACACGAAAATGAAATGCTTTTAAAGGATTCTATTATTGCAGACAAAGATAATAAAATATATTAATTAAAAAACGCGTAATATTATTATTCAACTTAATATAAAAAAATTAAATAATTAGTTTAAATGATGTAATAGAAAAAAGAGATTAAAAAATAAACGATTTATAATAAGAATTATAAAAAACAAATATTGAAAATGAATAATAATAATAATAATTATTGAAATAATTAGAAGATAAAAATGACTATATAAATTAATTAAAAAAAAAGTTAATTATATACAATATATATTTCTAATTTATATTTACAATTTTTTTTTAAAGATTAAATGAATAAATAAGAGAAAAAGAGTAAAAAACAGGCGAATTCGAAGCAACTTCTGATATTAAAAATTAATTAGAAAATTTAGTTTTATAATAAAAGTAGATAATAAATGATAAAGATAATTAATTAAACTTATTGAAAAAGAAGTATTTTTTTTTATTGTTTATTTTTGTAAATAATATTTAGTTTTGCTGAAGTTGGTCGATAAAAAGAACTAAAAGCAAATGAATTGGAAGAAACTTAAAATTAAAAAAGTTAATTAGAAGATGAATGCTAATAATTAAATAAAGTTATTTCTTAAAAAGATGCAGATATAAGCAAACTAAAAAGATTGTAAAAAAAAATATAATTATTTGTATTTTTTTCGTTATAAAAAAGAATGACTGATTTGTAAATGTAAAACGAACAAAAAATAAACGAACTTGATTTCTAATAGGAATAAAATAATAAAGAATACGAAAATGAAATCTAGAAATTAAAACAATAACAATAATAAAAAGATAAAGACTTTAATTAATTAAAAAAAACGTAAAATAAAATTATTTATCTTTTTTTTAAAAAAAAATAAAATTAAAAAATACTTAATTAATAGATTAAATGATTTAAATATTTAAAATGAATAGAAACTTTAAGAATTAGACTATATTATTAATGATAATAAAGTATAATAAGAAAAAGAATAATAATAATTAAAATAGACTATTTTAGCAAAAGAAAACGAATTAAATAATTTAAAAAAAAAGTAAAATATATATAAAATATTTTATAAAATAAAAAAAATACTAGTTAAAAATTTACAGATTAATAAAAAGAAGAATAAATAAATGATTTATAAAATGCATTATAAGATGTGAGATTTTAATTATAAAACTAATTGTAATAACAAAAATAGTAAAACGAATTAAAAGATGGAGAAATTAATGCTTTAAAAAATGCGTAAAAATTTTTTTATATATATTTCATATAATATAAATAAATAAGACTTTAAGAAACTAATTAATATAAAGATGATAAAATATGTTAATTAGATGATAAATTTAATACTTTAAATAACTAAAATGATAAACTTAAAACACTCATACAAGATAAAAACAATTAACTTGAAAAACTTAACTTACTTACTAATCAATAATAAGATTAAATAGAAGAATTAAAAAAACTAGAAATAGACTGCTAAAATAAGGATAACTAAATAGCTTAATTAATAAATAACGTTGACTTGTGGAAAGGTTAATTTTAGAAATAGCAAAAAACATTAGATGACTTATTAAAATATTAAGATATATGTAAATAATAAGAAGGAAAATTAGACTTATAACAATAATAAATTGACAGGTTAAATAGAAATATAAAAAATATAGTATAGGAAGGTGATAATAATAAAGCTAAAATTAATGAGCTTGAAATGTAAGCTTTATAAAAAATACAATTAGAGGCTAAATTAAAAGAATAAGAAAATAAAAATTTTATATAAGGAAAAGATCTTTAATTATTAAATGATTAAGTCTAGCAAAAACACTAATAAAATGAAGGTAAATAAAATTTACTTTTTATATTATTTTATTTTGTTAAAAAAAAACAAAAAAAATATTTTACAAAAGACCTTATTGATAAAATTAAAGAATTAGAAAACATAAATAGTAATTTAAATTCATTTTAAGAAAAATCTAAAAACTAAGAAAATTAAATAAAAAAACTTAATTAACTTCTAAATGAAGAAATGGGTAAAGCACATGAATTATAGTTATAATGTGAAAAAGCAAAATTTTAAGAAGGCAAAATTAAAGTATAAGAGTAAAAGATTGCCTAACTTAACCAAGAAATTGATAAATTAAATAAATAAATACTCCATAATAACAAAGAACAAGAGCAATAAAGGAACTAATTATCAAATTTATAAGAACAATTACATAAAGCATAAAAATATGAACAAAAATCCCAAGATTTAGATATTAAATTATGTAAAAAATTATTAATATTTTATATAAAAATATTTTAAAATACTAGAAAATTTATAAAATGAAAATGAAAGATAAAAAATGCTTTTAGAATAAAAAGAAAACTAATTAGATGAATGGAGAAATAAATCTACAATTTCCGAATTTAATTTGAAAAAAGCTGAAGATCAAATAAATTCTCAAAAAAACAAAATAGCTCAATAAGGTTAATAGCTTGAACTTTTAGCAAAGTAATATAATGATGAATTAGAAGAAAATAATGATTTTAAGGCTAAATTAATGTTAGGTGCTAAAGATGCAAATACAATGGAAAAATAAATAGATGTACTTACTAATGAAATTTAAAATTTAATATAAATTTTGTAAGAAAGAGATGAATAAATAGGATAATTGAAAAATAATATAGAGGATTTGTGTAATGATTATGATAAATTGAAAGAAAAAAATAAATTTTTAAACTAAGAAATAGATAGATTAATGATTATTATTAAAGAATTAGAAGAAGAAAATGCAGCTTTAAAGTAAAAATATGTGGATAATAATGAATTGACACTTAAAGTTAGAGATTTACATATGTTATGCTTTACTTTGTTTATTGAAATATAATCTTTAAGATCAAATGTTATTACTAAATAAAAATAAGTTGATGAAATAAGAAATTCTTCTTTATTAGTTTATAAAAAACTATAATGAGAAAAAAAAATTAAAAAAAAATATTATTTAAAATGATAAAAATTATTAAAATAAAATTTATTAAAAATATAAAAATATAAAAATATAAAAATATATAAATATAAAAATAAAAAAATATAAAAATAAATATATAAATGTATAATAATATAAAATTATTAAAATATAAAAATAAATATTTAAATTTTAAACAATTTATCTAAATCTTAAGCTAGTTAATTATAAAATGAAATAATGATATACATTTTAAATATATATTATTTTTATAAATATGCTTAACAAATTTAGATAAAATAATAATCTAAACTTAATTTTATTAATATTTAAATTGTTTTTAGTGATATTTAATTTATCAAACAAAAAGAATTTTTTTTAAAAAAATCTTAATAAAATTTTCAAACAAACAAAACAAATTAATAAATATAATTTTTTAATAGATTAATTTATTTTATTTTGTTTTATATATCAAATAAATTTTCTATTTTTTCTTTTACCTATTATAAATATTATATAATATAATTTTTATAAACTTTATAAAAAAAGAATAATCTGAATATTATTTATTTTTAAATATTATTATTTTATAATTTTCATTATGTTTCTTTATTAAAATAAATATATAAAATTTTAAAGATTTTATTTAAAAAAAGTCATATATATAATAATAAAAATAAATATGTTTTATAAACAAAACATTAGAATGTCATTTAATATTTTATCCTTAATATTAGGTTCATTCTTAGCTATATTGTTTTTATTGTTCAACTAGAATTTTACTGGGTATATTATTTCTTCCTTTTTTAGTATATTATATATATATATATTTTTAAAAAACGAAAATTCTTAAAAAACAAATAAAAAGTAATTAATAGTTTATGCATAATTATTGTAAATACTTATTGCTCATATAAAGATTATGGAATGTATTTTTATGTAACAATTTATCTAGGATATTTTCTATGTTTTAGTGCAATGTATAATTTAAATAATTTTATTTTTTTAATTTTGAAAAAGAATAATTATGCCATTAGATGCTGTTAATTCAATAATTTAAAAAAATATTAAAAATCATTTATAAAATGAATAAGCATCTGAAGATTTTCTAACTTTTTGGAATATAATATATTGGTTGATGTTATTATTGTATTTATTTTTAGTTTATATTTTATAATAATACCATAATAATGGATATTTAGGCTTAAAAAATAAATTTTTGACAATATTTAAAGTTCATAAAAAAATAAAATTTAAAGATAATTTTTTTTTTTTTTTCATAAATAGAAAAATACTAAACTATTACTAATTGAATTTTTCACTTTTGCTTCTTTATGTTGCATAAGCAATTTTTTTTTTGATATAAAAGGATTAGAAAATATAATAGTATTATATAATTTTTCTTTACTTTTTTTTAATAATAAATAAAAAAAAGGGTGTAGTTTTAGCTTTATCTAATATATATGGAATCACAATACTTGTGTTTTTATTTGGTTATGGATTAGTTAAAACCCCTTATTATTTGTGGATATAATCTGATAAAGAAGTTCTTTTAAAATAATATATATCCAATGCTCCTGAATAATTAATTGGCTATAAATAAAGTTATGTAATTATTATATATATATAAATGCGTTTCAAAATAATTTTCTATAATTTTTAAAAGGTTGATTATATTGATATAAATGAAATTTGTTTAAAATCTTTAGATTTAATTGAAAACAATTAGAATTTAAAAAATTATTATTAAATAATTTAGTAAGAATCAATTTCTAAACAATAATTTTTATAGTTAAAAAAGTTTCCTGATACTAAAAAAGACAAAAACATTGAAAATCTAGAATTTATTTTATTTTCACAAATAGATGTTTAAGAATAAACACTTGCCTTAATAAGAGAAAAGCTTAAAATGTATACTTTTTAATACTAAATTCAATACTAAAAATGGTAAAATGTAAAAATAATAATAAATTATTAAATAAATATAAAATATACAAAGTTATGTGATAAAATATATAATCTAATTGATGAATAAAACCTAGAAGAAATGAGTCAAAAAATAAACCCTAGACTAAATGATAATAATATAGACTTAGTAAATAAAATAAATAGTCTTATTCTAAAAGCTCGAGTTTAGAAAAAAACTACAAAATTATTTTATTACATATCTTCTATAATATTATCTATTTATTCTTTTTTAGTTATTTTTTGTGAAACAAGTTTAGTTTTTGGGTAAAAAAACTCTCTATAAATATTTTTCTAATCAGTAAAAAATTCCACTAATACAATAGGAATAATGCTTTTTATTTTTCTTACACTTGCATATGTCACATTTTGTGCTTATTTTGCTTTAAAAAGACTTAAAATATTAGGCTCTTTTGAACTATGTAAAAATTCTACACATAGGAATACTTTTGTATCAAATCTTTCCATATGTTTAAATCTTACAGTAATTTTATATTTTTTTTTCTTTTTATTAAAAAAATAAAATAACTGTTTTGTTAAAAAATAGTTTCCTATATGTTATAATGCAATGCTATTATTTGGAGAAATAAATAAAGAAATCTCAGAAGATGGCAATATATATTAATCTGGTTTTGATAAATTTTATAATCCAATGAAACTAATACCTTTTTTTGGCTACAACTATAATTTAATAGTTTCTTTATTAATAACAATAGTTGCTATTTTGTCTTATTTTGGAAAAACATAGCAGTTAATAGAAAATATATTCAATAACGAAATATAGATGAGAATGTAAATAAAAGACGAATAATTATTTTAAGGATAATATATTATTTTATAAGAATGGAATAGGAGAAAATTAAAATAGACAAAATTTTGCGATTTTGAAATGTAAGAAACTAATGAAAAGCAATAAAAAGAAGTTTATTCTTTTATAAAAATTAATATATAAAGTTTAATTCGAAAATTTGATTTTAGAAAAAATGAGGGATCTTTATAAAAAGAAGAATTAAGTGATAATAAAGTAAAATAGTTTTTGTCAGAATCGGATATTTAAAATAAAAACTAATAATATTATTAAAATTTTAATTGATAATGTGTTTGTTTATTAATTATAAAATATTATATAATAGAAATGTAAATTTTGATATTAAAAAATTATTTAACAAAAAAAAAATATTATTTTCTTTTTTTGATTAAATTAATTAAATAATTTAAATTTTTTAATTTAAATATTAATTAAATTAAAAAAATACACATAATAAAAAACACATTCTAAAAATAATTAAAAAAAACTTATTCATAATTTGAAATTTTACAAAGAATAAAATATTAAAATATTTTATGTATAAAACTTAGACTCAGTAGCTAAAAAAATAGTATGTACTATATCAAGACTATCAATTGCATATGGAATAGCTAAAATATCACTCTATTTAATCATTTAAGGTTAAAAGATAATTTTTTTAAGAAAAAACCTAAAATTATTTTTTAATATCTAATTAACTTTTTTATAATTATAACTCTAATGTTAATATTTCATTAAAACTTAACAATAATTCCATATAGCCTCTCTAAATATACGCGTATCTACATGTTGAACTTTCCCGAAGTTTTTAATTGTAATATTTTTTATTTAATCATATTTTTTATTTAACACATTACACATTTCTGAATTTAATTAACAAATGTAACTAGAAATATGATTCTTCCAATCGCATTCATTAGAATTCAAATTTCTTTATTATTTTTTATTATGGCTATTATGGCTATTATGACTATTATGGCAATTATGGTTATTATTATTATTATTATTATTATTATTATTATTATTATTATTATTATTATTATTATTATAATTATCATTATTATCGATTTTATTATTTTGATTCTCTTTATTTTTTCTTTTTTCAAAAATACTACTTTATCCAATATATATTTAATTGCTATTTTTTTATTCATAGCATTCCTATAAATCATTAAAAGAAAATCTTTATGAATCATTTTCATAAATTTCTTCTTCTGAAATATCACTTTCTTCTATACTTTAATCTAGTTAATTTTATTTTTTTATTAGAATATCAATCACTTCAGTAGTTAATTTTTATGATTGTATATTTTAAGTATATAAATCTAAATTACATCTTGTCTATTTTTCAATATCTTACTCATCTTATACCAATAAACCAAACGCAAAACTTATTGTAATTAATTACTATGTAAATCCTATTGCTATAATAGCAAAAAGTAGTTCTTTTTGGTTCCATACAGGTTCTTATTTTAACAAAAAATTAAATAATTCTTCATTTCTTGCCAAAATTTATTCCGCATTGAAATTTTTTAAAAAATATATCAAAT